ACAGTGCTGTGCAAATTCCTCACAGTGGACCACTGAGGGTTCCACCATTTCTTTCAGGGGGCAGCTTGTAAAAGCCCCTGAACCACTCGGAACAGCTCTGCTGGATGTCACTGAGAGGATGTAATGAAGATGGGCAAGTAAGTTTTCTTTGCTGCCTTCACCACCATGACATGGGTTTGATAATGAACTCTAAGCTGTGTTTGGTTGGATCCATCATGAGTTTTTCTCCATTTGCACTCCAGCTGTCTCCCCCACCCCCCCATGTCATCGACCTCAGCTCCAGCACGTACCATGAGGCTATATGGGCTCTGCATAGGGGAAAAGGATGCTTGGGTGTGATTGTGTCAACTGCCCAGGTCATCTCCATATTCCACAGAGTAACCTGGGCTTTGACAGGAGAACCAGCCATATCAACCAGAAACACCCCCAGAGCCCTCTGAAAACCATCTGGATCCATCAGCCTCCAGTGGTGGACCATTGCAATAGGTCCCCCACCCTTGTGGAGCAGAAAGGGGGCTGAAAGTCTAAACCTGAAAAGGAAGTGGTCTGACCATGACAGAGTGGTTGATGGTAGTCCCTTCACTTCCAGATTACTGTCTCCCTGGCCAGTCGAGAAAATCAGGTCTAGAGCGTGACCCTTTAAATGTGCTGGCCAGGTGACATGTTGAGACAACTACAGGGGATGGTGACATGGTTGTCATGGGGGCCATGAAATCTTGAGTTGCCCCAGATAAAATGGCCTCAGTGTGGAAGTTGAGGTCCCCCAGAACCAACATTCTGGGGGGTCCTCAATACCAGGTCTGAGATATTTCCTCCAGCTCAGGCAGGGAGTCAGCTGTGCAGCTGGGTGGGCAATACAACAGCAAAATCTCTATGTGTCTTGTGAGCCCAACACAAGGTATAAACACTCAGAACCTGTTCTGAGTGAACAGAGAGCTTTGAGAGGGAAAGAGAATTTCTGTAGATGAGGCCACCTCACCCCGCACCCACCCCAGGCCCTCCAGGTGATGCTGAGCAGAGTACCCAGGGGCACAGCTGGGAGAGAGCTACTCCTCCCTCTCCCTTCAGCCAAGTCTCTGTGTTGCAAGCCAGGTCGGCCCTCTCATCAAATCCTGAGTGAGAGAGGTTTTACTTAGGACTGACCTGGCATTCAACAACAGCACCAGCAAGCCTGAGGAAGGTTGCTAAGGCTGCCAGGGGTTGGCAGGTCTGGAGTGTGACCGGAAGAGGGGATAGTTTCTTTGCAGTAAGTTGTTTAAGAAACACAGTGGGAGAAACTTCCACAGGTATGGTGCTATTCCTAAAGAAATGCCATTTTATCAGTCAGTTGGCAATTCTAGTCCTTCCTGTTCAGCGATTTGAGAGGTACTATGGTGTACTGATTGGCACGTTGAATTGGGACTGGAGATAAAACCTTTCAAATCATCCTCATCCATAAAGCGCTCTACCTGACCTTGCACCAGTCAGTAACTTTATTTATTTGTTTATTCAACTTGTATTCCATAGTAATTACTCCCAATGACTCTCTAAGCAGAGTCACAGGTTCATTCTCATCAGAAAGAGAAAATAAATATATATAGTCATTAATATTGGTTTTTATTATTTATTTATGATTATATGTAATTTGGATTTTCTTTTCTAATAGCTAGTACTTATGTTTTATATTATGGTTTGAATCATGAGCACTTCCTGGATATGTGGAATCTAGAATGTGATTACAATAATGCCCACATTACTGGTAATTATACTGTAAACAATCCAAACACCCCAATCCTTTCCGTGTCCGGTCGTGTGTATTCACAGACCTGCCGGCTAGACTTGTGTCCCCTCTCATGGCCCAGCCTGGGTATATGAAGCGTGCCAACCATTTAGCAGCCAACATGCCTCAGAACAACTGACCCTGTATGAGTGTTGTGCTCCCTGCCATTTGTGCAGTCCATCCCAGGCTGCCAAAAGGGGGACGGGGGGGGGGGTTACACAGTTTCTAAGAGGTTGCAGTCTTCATCCTTGATGGGCTGCATGTGTTCCCGGCTGGAGGTGGCATCTGAATTTGCTGCCTGCTTAACAGTTCACTGCAGATCCAGAGTACTGCCAGACAAGGATTTGATTGTACACTTGCACTGCCTCGTTCCAAAATTTTACTGGGGCAGAGAAAGGTCCAGACATCTTCAGTTTATAAACCTTTACTTTCTTCTGTGTTCCTTCTTACCAGAAAAATCAGTTAAGAAAGGAAAGAAGGAAGAGGGGCACAATACCTTTTGGTTGGTAGTGTCAGGGGCCAGGTTGGCTCCAGGTTTTCTAGGGCCCTTGGGCAAGAAGCGCTCAGTGGGTCACCTCCCTCAGCAAGTCCGCCCTCCCACCACCATCGTCCTGAGCTGCTATTGCTCCTTACCCCTTTCTTGCCATTGCTGTCACCATTGGGTACAAGGAGGAACAACTGCACAGACCTTGCCAGTGGACCCTGCTGGTGTGTGGACCCTCAACAGGCGTCCACCCATGCCTGCTTGTGACAGCGGGAGCCTCTGTCCGAAAATAATGCATGTCAGTGGGTTTAGGGCAAGAGATATTGATAGAAGGACAAGGTCCCCAGGAGGATTCCAAAGCCTTTTTGTAGATTTCTAGACTGAACTGCAAAGCATTATATTTTGAGAGTATCAGATGTATGCATTCTCCTGAACTATACCTGTACATGATCTGAAACATGGGAAGATGGACTTCCCTCTGCCTTCCCTAAATTGTACCCTTGCCATTAACTGTATCTATAGAGGCACGTTTCTATAAATGCTTATTTTGTTGCAAATTCTTTGGGCAATGTCTTACAGGGGCCTTTGTTCTAATTATGCATGCAGGTACCTGGAGAAGCAGCCAATAGGATGCTTTAGGCATACATTTATTATGACTGCTTTTTCAGTCATGGTGAGAAGTGTGCCTGTATGCAGCCATCGATCCCAAGGTGTTCCCATTTGCCAAGAAAGAAGATGTTGCAAAGAAAGGCAGGATGCTGATGATGATCTAGATAGGACTGTTATTTTACCGATTCCAATTATGAAAAGTCTGTAACTTGAAACTAATGAGTTGTGTGGCTCACTGAGCACAACACATAACAGACTTGGTTTACTTTTCTATTGCAGTGCCTTGGTATAATTCAGCCCAGTTCCTAGTGAAGAACTAACGATGCAACTATAGAGATAAGCAGCTTTCAGTCAGAAAGTACAGAATGGTGGGCCATGTGTCAGAACGTATGTGAAACTCCTAGCTGATTCATCAGAATTTCATCTTGTTGTTTTTTTAAAAAGCTTAGTTTGCTTTCCAATAAGGCCACTGGCAAAATATGTATCCCTGCTGATTAGCTATAGATGAAACCTGAGGATTTTAGCTGTTGGAGCTGCAACTTCCATAATGTCAGCCAATGAGCATTGTATATGAATTCACATATGAGAGAGAAAGAAGTTTATACTAATCATCTCTATTAAGGGACATTTCATCTCAGTGAGGAGATCATTTTGATAGTCTGGAAAGAGCATTTAAGCCATCTGGACACCATGGGATAACTTGGATGTATTTTGTGCAGTTCAGAATTAGGGTGTCTGCAGAACATGTGCTGTGTTAGGTGAACTTTGTGTGTTTCTGTATCTAAGAGATATTTAGCACAGTCACACCCAACCAACTTTTTGCAGAATTTTTCAGTGCATAAGATGCAAGCGTGTGTTACTGAAGCCTCAATATAGCACTGATATGTGGTAAGTAATTAGTTCAGACAAGACTAATTCATGTCAGTATTGCTATGCTCTGTTAATCTAATGGCTTGAATAAGAAAGCAAAATGAGTTACACTTCTGACTTTCAGTGGCAAAACACTTCAGCCATTGAATCCCCAGGAAGCCCTTGCACTTGGACAAATATGACACAGAGGGAAGGGGCTGATGAAGAGCTGTATCTTTTTAAACAGCAATGTAGCAGCCTGTATGTTCACACGGGAAAGTTCAAAAGTGCAGATGTTTGACCTGGTTTGCATGATACAACAGGCCGTCATGGGTTACTTACCTGAGAGGGCTCTTGCAGTCTACCATTCTACCATGCAAAAATGCTTGGCTCACAACTTGACATGCCAGAGAAAGCCGGATACCTGCGGGCACCATTTTTGCATGCCAGGATGCAAAACCCCTTGTGTAAATTAACCTGTAGTGGTAGAGATGTTATGCAAACCAGGTCAATGTTTGCCAAAGGCTTCCCTGGTGCCATCTGGGCCTTTGTGCCCTGCAGAGTTCTCTTCCCAGTCTCAACGAACCATTACAATCAAGCGGACTTTTGTGCACTTACAATTCCAACATGAATCCAGTGAACTCTGCTATCTATAGTTTGAGAATAGTCCCTTTAAAGCTTGTTGTAAGTCATGGGTTACAGCTGTTCTTTTCTATCATCATGACAGAGCAGCCTCTGAAGGCACAGTGATGACCATCTCTATGGAATGGCAATTCAGACATCACAGCTGGCCAGAAGGAACAGGAACCACCATTTGCAATCCCATTGCAAGCCACAGTTTCTGATTCTGGTTTGCTGCTTAATTGGAAACCATAGTTCTGTCAATCCAGGCATCACATTTCCTTAAACATGGCTTGGTGTTAGAATGGAACCTTTGGGGCTGAATGGCTCAGTTGAGGAGCTGGAAAGGGCAAGATTCCTGAACAGAAGATGACATATTTCCTGTTTATATGTTTCAGTTTTTAATCTTTGTTAATTGCCCAGAGATCCTCAGACTGTTGGAAGTATAAGAATGGAATGGAATGGAATGGAATGGAATGGAATGGAATGATGGATGGATGGATGAGGGCACTCTCTCTTCCTCTTCCAAAAGCCAAGAGTAGAAAGTTCTGGGGCATTATACTTATATGGTACCTTCTTCCTTTCTGGGGTAGGCCAACTGGACTTGACCCTCGGTCCTTCTCTAATTTTCTGTTGTTCACCATGTCCCCTTGCCCTCTGGACTCTCTTTCCCTTCAGGTGGCTAACCTCCTGCGCCTGTTCCAGATTCCCCAGATCAGCTATGCCTCCACCAGTGCCAAGCTCAGCGACAAGACTCGCTATGATTACTTTGCTCGCACTGTTCCCCCAGACTTCTACCAGGCCAAGGCCATGTCTGAGATCCTGCGCTTCTTCAACTGGACCTATGTCTCGACTGTGGCCTCCGAAGGAGACTATGGAGAGACAGGCATCGAAGCGTTTGAGCAGCAAGCCCGAGCTCGCAACATCTGCATTGCCACCTCAGAGAAAGTGGGGCGCTCCATGAACAAGAAGACCTTTGACGGGGTGATCAAAGCTCTGCTGCAGAAGCCCAGTGCAAGGGTGGTCGTGTTGTTTACCCGAAGCGAGGATGCTCGGGAGCTGCTGGCAGCTGCTCAGAGGATCAACGTGTCCTTCACATGGGTGGCCAGTGATGGCTGGGGGGCCCTAGAGAGCGTCGTGGCTGGCAGTGAGCCAGTGGCTGATGGAGCAATCACGATTGAACTGTCATCCTACCCGGTGCAGGAATTTGCGGTGTACTTCCAAAAACTTGACCCCTACAACAACAGCAGGAATCCATGGTTCCGAGAGTTCTGGGAACACAAGTTCCAGTGCAGCTTCCACAGCCAGAACTGCAGCCAGTTCTCCCTGAAGTCGGGCAAGTTTGAGCAGGAGTCCAAGATCATGTTTGTGGTCAATGCTGTCTACGCAATGGCCCATGCCCTTCACAACATGTACCAGGCATTGTGCCCCAACGCCACAAAGCTCTGCGATTCCATGAAGCCAGTAAATGGCAAGAGATTCTACAAGGAGTTCATGCTCAATGTGACATTTGATGGTAAGCCAAGGCCAGGCACACACACCCTGCAAAATGTACGCCGTCTCAACCGGCAAAGCAGCTAACTCTCCCTCCCGACACACAGCGAGCGAAATGCTCTCCACCGCCTCCTCCAGCCACCCAGGATGCTCCCCAACACCTCCCAGGTTTTTTCCTTCTGCGGAACCTGCCATGCTTCAACATGAAGTGCTGGGCTGCTGCCACGCCCTGTTTTTATTTTCTAAGGGTCTGATCCTATGCATATCTAAGACTGAAAAAATCCTACAATTCCCAGCATTCCTGGCTGGGGAATCTTGGGAGTGCCACTTTTCTGGGGTGAGGGTCTAAAGGTGCATAGGATTGCACTCTAAGAATGCTTATAGGGTCCATGTGGGACCCAAAGACTTGCTTGGAAATAAAGGTACCACTGAAAGTGGGTACTTCCCTTTGCAGCATGGCAGCCTTGTAGGATGATGATGATGATCATGATGATGAAGAATATCAGGGGTTTTTTAGGAGTGGCAGCATGTTGGTGACCCCAGGTATAAAGAACTTATTGTGATCAGGCTACAAGACCTCTCATCTCCACACACCTAAACTTGAGCTTGCATTTTATACTCTGGCCAGTAAGTCCGAAGAACTAAGCTTGATGCCCTTATTCTTTATGTTATAAACTTAATGTTTACTAATATTTAGTGCAACTATACAGACATATTGGATGACTTGCACTCATTGTCCAACAGCTTTGCAGAAATATCATAGATGGTTTATTCCCTCCCAATAAAATATCTGTTGGGCAACCCATGATCTGCTATGGAGAGGAGAACACAATGCTTTCTGGAAATTCCCTTTTCCATTTCCGCCATTCTAATGAATCCGCACTGTGGTAAACAATGCAAGCTGCTCTGTGGGGATGGAGGGGGTGGGCGCACTAGAAAAATGCTCTCATACTATGGCAGTTTCACTTAAGGGACAAACAAGATTATTTTTTCATTAATTTTCTGTTGTGGATTTTAATCAATCAAGACAAAAATAAAAACAGTAAAGTAAAATAAAGTATTACCATTTTCTAGTACCAGCTTCGAATGTATCCCGCACAATAGATAAATATGCAGTGTGTACTGATATGTGACAAAGATACAAATTACTGGGTATAAATTATGCACCAATTTCAACAAGAGCAGACTAAGTCTCCATACAGTTGTCCATTTGTAGCTTATGCTTCAAGACCACCTGTTCAAAAATGGAAAGCATTATTAAGTACTCGGCCCACTGTATTATCAAAAGTGTCCATTTGTCCTTCCAACGTGGTAATATTAGTCTTTTAGCTGTCAAAAGGGCATGGAGAATTGTCTTGTGTACAATCCATGCCTTGTGCTTTGTTCCAAGAAGCAGGTAGATAAATGAGAAAAACATGCATGTCTATAAATAGTTATGAACTTTCTGGTGCAATGTTTATCTATATTACTGCCTCCTCCCCAAAAGAGGCAGGCATTGGGCATTGCCAAACCAAATGCGAGTTTAATCAGGTGACCGGCATTTGTGTGCTTGATGAGTGAATTGCAACCGTAATAGGTCCTAATCCAGATGGGGCCACAGCACAGGTAAAGTTGCACTTTAGCACTTTGCCCCCACTGTAGGCTCCAGTCTGCATTAGGAGCTGAATGTATTCACATTTTGTTTTCTATGTTCAGTAATCCAATTAATGCACACAAAACATAGACAGCTAATGCACTGTGGGTGAGATGCAAACACCCAGAACAAACTGGTGTTGAAGTAACAAAATCAAAACAAAAATAACAGAAACATAGAAACAAAGCGAGTCAGAAGGGGCCTGCTGGACCATCTAGTCTGACCCCGGATCTAGCCAGCTCAGCTCATGTAATCCCCAAAAGATGGTTGTCCAATCTTTCCTTTGACACCCTCACTGATGGAAACCCACCTCCCTTGGAAATCCATTCCATATCCTAAGGGTCCTAAACTTCAGGAAGTACTTCCTGACATCCAACCTGAAGCCTGGTTCCTTGAGCTTTGCCCCACTGGGATGGATCCTGCCCTCCACTGCAGGGAAGAACAGATCATGCCCCTCCTCCACATGACATCTTCTCACATACCTGTAAGTTGCTGAAGATCCCCTTGGAGTCTCCTCTTCTCCAGGCTGAAAAGGCCCAGTTCCCTCAATCTCTCCTCATATGTCATCCCGCCCAACCCGGCTACCATTCTTGTGGCCCTGTGCTGAACTGATTCTAATCTAGCCATATCTCTCCTATAACATGGAGGCCAAAACTGGATACAGTACTCCAGTTGTGGGCGGACCGGCGTTGTGTAGAGTGGCATCAACACCTCCCTAGATCTGGAAGCCACACTTCTAGCTGTACATCCAAGGGTGGCATTTGGCTTCTTCTCCATTGTGTCAAACTGCTGGCTCATGTTCAGCCTGTTGGCAAGTAACAATACAAAATGTGAACACATTCAGCACAAGACATATTGAAACACTGAGTTGTGACATTCGCAACTGGAATGTTATGATCAAAAAATACAAAACAAGCTGCTTGGCTTTAGTTAATTTCTAAAAGATGAACCTGAATATAAGTTTTTATTATATTCATTAACAAAAGGTTGCTTTTTAAACTACATTCTAAGGAAGCAGCATTTCCTGCCCACATTTTCTTTTACCTGGGGCATAGCCCTGCGCATATTTAGTCAGAAGAAAGTCCTACAGCTCCAGCACTGCTGGTCAGAAATGCTGGGAGTTGTCTGAACACACACAGGATCTCACTTTCAGTGATTTTGTTTTCTTAATGCCAGTAGACAAAAGCAGATTCCTCTCAAAGCGTTTTGTACTGGATCCTGTGCAGACACACCTGGGCAGGGGAGTGGCAGAGTTGGATTCTATTAAAAGTAGGCATGCGAGATTGTGAGTATTTAATGTTCTGTTGTCCTTTGCATTAGATTATTTCTATTTCACTTCACAGCTCCATTTCGGCCATCCTCAGACTCAAAAAGTACCGTTCGATTTGACCGCTGTGGGGATGGTATTGGCCGCTACAATATCTTCAACTACCATCGAGCCGACGGGAGGTATCACTATCAGAAAGTGGGCTACTGGGCAGAAGGACTCATCCTAAACACCAGCCTCATTCCCTGGGTGAAGACGTCCATTCCCGTTTCCCAGTGCAGCGACCCCTGCAAGAAGAACGAGATGAAGAGCATGCAGCCAGGAGACATGTGCTGCTGGATATGCATTCCCTGCCAGCCGTATGAATACCTGATGGATGAGTTCACTTGCAGGGACTGTGGTCTTGGCTACTGGCCCAATGAGACGCTCAATGGCTGCTATGAGCTCCCCCAGGAGTACATCCGCTGGAAGGATGTCTGGGCCATCGGGCCCGTCACTATTTCTTGCCTTGGCTTCATCTCCACTCTGTTTGTTTTCGGGGTCTTTGTTAAGAACAACAATACCCCCATTGTGAAGGCTTCTGGTCGTGAACTGTGCTACATCCTGCTCACTGGGGTGCTGATGTGCTACAGTATGACGTTCATCTTCATTGCCAAGCCCTCCACGGTGGTCTGCACCTTGCGGCGGCTGGGGCTGGGCACCTCCTTTGCAGTCTGCTACTCTGCCCTCTTGACCAAGACAAACCGTATTGCTCGGATCTTCAGTGGGGTGAAGGAGGGTGTGCAGCGCCCGCGGTTTATAAGCCCTACCTCACAGGTGGTCATCTGCATGGCTCTAATTTCTTGCCAGTTAATTATCGTTGTCATCTGGCTCATGGTGGAGACGCCTGGAACACGAAAGGAGACGGAGCCTGACAAAAGGTATATTGTCACCCTCAAGTGCAACAACCGAGACTCAAGTATGCTCATTTCACTGACCTACAATGTCCTCTTGATCGTCTTGTGTACAGTCTATGCCTTCAAGACCAGGAAATGTCCTGAAAACTTCAATGAGGCCAAATTCATTGGGTTTACAATGTATACCACATGCATCATCTGGCTGGCCTTTCTGCCCATCTTCTATGTCACCTCCAGTGATTATCGGGTAAGTAATCTATTGCTGTGAGTGAGGCAGCTATGAAGCCAATGGCAGCCAATGGTGTAACCTAAACTGATCCTATTGGATGGAAGAAGTATATAAATAAAGACGGGTCATCTCCGTGCTCCATATTGCTACATTCCTTATAACAATTGCAGCACCAGCCTATCCAACATGGGCAGGCAAAGTGCTCCTGAGAAGTTTCAGGGCTGTTGTACCTTTAATTAAACACTTCCTGGTTGCAGGTTTAGCTTAAGTGTCAAACTTGCTTAACAGAAAGCAATAAAACGAGGAGAACTTGGCAACTTAGATTGCCAAGGGCCTTTGCTGGAAAGACTTACTTATGAGCAAACATTATCTTGGAACATCTTGGCCATGTAGAAGGACAGCGCTGCAAAACAGAGTGCTCCATTAGAGTGCTGTGTAGAAGCTCCAGGCAATATGCGTCCAAACACAATGTTTTAGCGAGTTTCACACTTACCTGAATCTAAGTTCAATTTAATATAGTGGAACTTACTTTTAAGTAAACACACACATGTGTGTGCATTTGTGGCTTGGTGCATGTGAAGGGGTACATGTAGAATTTCTTGTCTTTGTAAGCACATTATGTTTGTAAGGAAGATATAGCAATTCAGCTATTTTGGGGGCTCTGGGACCTGCACGTTTCCCATAGTTGTGCAGCTGCTTAAGCAAAACCTCACAGATTTGGTCAAAATTAGCAAAGTTTCATCATTTGCAAGCATCATGGGAGAATGTGCTTTGCTGGCAATAACACAAATGATTAACTGCCACTGAGTAATTAGGAGCTAGGAAATAATTACTTTCCAGACCTTAAGGCAATCTGAAAATAAGCATTTCTCCAACTCTCCTCTCCTCTCCTCTCCCACTGCCCCGTCTCTGTGGACCTGGTTGTTGCCCTGTCTTGGAAGAAAGAGCTTCTTCCGCTGGAGAAACAGCAGCCCCTGGTGGCCATCAGAGAGCTGTGCAGACCGGACAGCTGCTCCCTTGTAATACCAGAGAGTCATACTTTTCATTGTTACCATTGCAAGAAAGTTTGAAAATGAAAATGTGTTTCTCGTATTCATTTTCTGGAAATGAATGTAAAGGAATGTCGGCAAGTGGCTTTTGATGGAGGCAAGGTCTGCATGAAACAGGGATCTTTCATCTCCCTGTTGCGATGGAGCAAGGTTGGGGTTCCCAACCTTTTGGGGTCCGTGGGCATATCTAGAGTGTTGAGAGCGTTTTGGGAGCTCTCCCATACACGGCCGCTGAGGGGTGGCTTGCCCATCCACAGAGGGCTTCCATGGGGTGCATGGATGGCCCCACAATGCACACTTCCCAGAAGGCAAGCAGGTCGGCTAAAAGGAAACCAACTTGCTCCAAATCCGATATAAAAGGCAAACTGGGGGCTGGAGCTTCAGAATGCAAAACAAAACCACTCCTTTGAACCAACTTTTTTCTGCTCCAACACTCATTTTGTGGAAGACAAAGAATGGAGGGGCCCAGAGGTGTTCTTGGAAATAAAAACAGCGCTGAGGCTGATACTTCACTTTACTTCCTAGTTAATTTTTAAGCCAAATAAATAAATAAATAAAAATCGGGAGGGATAGAACGCATGGTGAGCATTATGACTGCTGTTCACGGGTGCATTAATGCCTGGGGGCATTATGTTGAAGATCTCAGAACTAAGCTGTGCCTGCAATACTTCTTGACACCCCCCCCCCCCCCACACACACACACACAATGTGCCACTATAATTGGAAAGGATGTTGCAGATGAAAAGAAGGTACCACACAGGGCAAGAACAGTGATAGTTGTTTGAGTCCTGACTGTGCCACCGGCCTGCATCCTGCTCTCAGGCACACTGAATTAACCTGCCCGATATCCAGACAAAGCTCTTTCTGAAACCTTCTGGTGCAAAGGGTCAGTATTCTAATGCATCCTGCAGTTTGGATGCTCCTGGTTCGGAAAATTGATGCTACTGTAGCTACGGGCACCTGGTATATGGATAGCTCCGCAGGGACAGCTGCCTTGCTTATCACTTCGGCTGCAAAATGCATGTGGCATTTGCAGGAGGACTGGGGAGCAGCCTTTTTTTAAGCATTGTGAGCAGTTCCAGGTTAAAGCAACCTGAGGCCCTGGGCTAGGAGGCCTCGGGAGCCCAGGCTTAATAGCATTTGATCATGAGAAACAAAACTTCTTTCTCTTCTTTTTTGTATCTATTCAAAGAAAGATGAACATTGCTGAAATAAAAAGATTGTTTATAAATTTATAACCTTTAATAAGCTTACAAAAATAAGGAATTAATGAAGACATTCATACAGAACATTCATAGGGGAATCATAGCTTTGTTACAAAATTACTCTATATATAACATCAGAACAGTTTCTTTCAAAACTTTTGGATGTAAATGTATCAATTATATCATTAAAATCAGTAAGTCACAGTTTATCATTTTGTGCAGAGAATGCTCAGATCAGACAGCAATCGTGGGACATTGTTGAGTACAGAGCATCCTTTATTCTTTTTAGCCTAGAAAATCATCTTTCAGCTAGGTACCCCCCGATTTTTATCATTACAAATGAAATAAAATTAATGGCAGTACACCAAGGCCCCCTTGGATTTTGGTCCCTGTGTAAATGCGGCACTGGCTGTGAGACACTCCGGAAAGAAACTTTGCACAGGGAGAGCTTTGTCAGTACTTTCCAATTTCTGTAAAAGTGGAGCAGGTGCTCATTTAGGGATCCTTAACAGCAAAACGCCCATGGAAGTCACCAGGAAGCAAGGACTGTGCTGGCGTGAGATACAAGCACTTGAGCCTGTAATTTAATTAGGCTGATGGGGAAATCGTGCTGTGCAGTTACCTTCTAAAGTGCTGACTGACAGGACCCTCCATGCCCTCAGCTCCCAGGACTACTTTAGAAGGCAGAGAAAGGAAACTTCAAAGCTGCTAAAATATGGTTAACCCGCAACCCCCAGCTGCTTGTTAGAACCCCCTCCAGCACAAAGCAAGCCTTACGCAGCAGCCTGGATCTGTGCCGCAGAGCCTCCGTGGGCCGTCTCACCTTGGACGCCTCAGTCTGCTCTGCAGGCGCTGCGTGATGGCAGGGTTTTGAGCATCTCTGGTAACGTGACATAGGACCCTTAGCTCAGGAGCCCTGTGCATCGTATGACCCAAGTGGGGAGCCCTTGCACTAGAGAAGAGGGCATGCATCAGAGGGCAGTGGGTTTCATCGAATTGGAGAGCCAGGGTGGTGTGCTGATGGGAGGACTGCAGTCCCGGGAGGTGCAGGGTCTGGGCCAAGCATGGCCTCCCAGCCTAATCTACCTCGCAGGTTGTTGCTGTCGGAATAGAATGCTGAGGAACGGCTTGTAAGCTGCCTTGAGTTGCTTGCAAGAGGAAGTAAGGTGGGATAGAAACTCAAGGTAGGAATAACAGATTCAAGCATATAGATTCTAGAAAGCATTACTGTAATTGAAACAGAAATGCAGTAGGTGCCACCATGACCGTGTGACCTGAGTGCTTGCTTGATGCCCTGCCATCCAGGTGCTCAGTGTTGCTGGCAGCTTCGGGACCCCTGCAGACACTCCCTTCCTTGGTTCTCTAGTTTAAAGCAGCCGTGCCGTTCCAGCAGGGGTCTGTCACTTGACAACCCTTCAAACTGTGAAGCAGGACATGGTCATCCCAACACGAGGGGCGTGGTTTCAATATCCATCCAGAATCCTGAATGCAAGGGAAGCAAGGGAAAGCTGTCCAAGTCCAAAGGCATGTGATATTATAAGGTTTGCCCCAAGCCAGGAGACTGAAGGCACAAGGGGTGGCTGAAAGGGCAGGGCAATTTGTACAGTCATCACATCAATATGCCCAGTACCTTCTTCCCCATCTGTGTCAGCACCTTTCTTGCTGGCTTAACCAAGGCCATAAACTTGAATTTCGTAGGGTATGAGGATTGGAGCCTGGAGCTTTTCCTGGAACTGCTACAAACAGGGTTGCCAGCACTCTGGGAGCAGTGAGGTGTTTTGGGGGTGGAGTCTTCCAGTCTGCATCTGCAGGAGAAGGAAGGAATTCTTGGGATGAAGGGCCAGGAGGGCAGGTTGTTTTCTGCTTGGCCTCAGAGAGCAGCCAGCCCCAGATCTATCGGACTCTAGCTTGGGGCAACAGACTCAACAGGCTCCCCCACCACCCTGGCCTTCCTCTGGCCCTTCGGAGCACCATGTGCTGGAAGCATGTATGCCTCCATCTGTATGCATATGGAGGATGGGGACGTCGTCTTGTGCCCTTCGCTGCTTCAACAGTTTTACATTTCCCCTCCCCAAGTACCAAAAGGCCCAACAATCCAGAACTCAGGCTGATTCTCTCCAGCTGGCTGGTTCTCCACATTGACACTCAGATGCTGCTCTCTCTAGACCAGTCTTCCCCAGCCTAGTACCACCCAGATATTTTGGAGTGCAGCACCCTTTATCTACAGCTGGCATGGCCAATAGTCAGGAATTATACGAACTGAAGTCCTGAACATCCAGAGGGCACCGAGTTAAGGAAGGCTGTTGAAGACTCCAGAGACTCTCAGTTTACATCTCAGTCCTTCGTGCAAATGTTTTCATCCAGGTCTACCTCCTTCCTCTCTGTTTTGTATTCCCTAGCTAGAAATTCCTCTCACACTCCTGCTGTCCATGATCCATTAACCACCCATTACCTACATTCTAGACTAGTCATTACCTGCTGGTCATTGGATTATGTTACAATGCATACGCGTTATGGATCAGCAGAGGGATACTTGCAAAGAGAACAGCCATCTTGTCTCAACAGCTAATGACTCTGGCACAGTTTTATCTTCAGTCCTGCTTGTGGGAGTTGTTGTTTATATCCTTTGTTTGGGTTGTAAATGAAGCCAAATGGCTCCCCCTTGGCATGATCATCAGAATGCATGCAAACACTGACTCCTAAGGCCTGTATGCTATCAAGACGCCATGGCCTAATTAATGGAGTCAAATGAATCTAAAACTGG